AGCCTGACTGTGGTATGTGTGACACACCAGGCCAGCTGAATCTCTCCTCCATCACAGCATCAGGTCTGGATGGTTTGGCCATATCTGAACCCTTTCTGTACCTCATGGCTTAGAAGGAAATTGTTTAAGGGGATGCCTCGTGAGAATCTTTTAGGACTGGAGCAGCTATGGGTGAAGAGAGAAAACTCCTGCAGAAATTATGGAGTAAATAGATCTGGGTGGGATTCCTGGGGTCCCTCCTGGCAGTGCTAATAGCAACAGGTATTATCTCTGCCTTCCCAGAATCATCTAGAACCTACAACCCAGGACATCTGCTCAAAAAAGTGTCTTCAGTTCCACAGAAAGCTCCCTTTACCATTAGCTGGTTGGTAAACATATAAAGAACAAACATGCTTTCTCTAAGGGACTGAATAATCATCATTTCTAACATGAGACTGGCTTTACTAGGCAATTCTGTAGAAATCCTCGCTCCCAGGACCATCACTGTGACTAGTCTTGCTCTTTCATCCCTTCTACATGGATCATAATCACAACAGCAGCCATGATCTCTAGATCCTGTCTGCTAACCTCAATATCTTCTGTAGTTTTGAAGTCCTGGAATGGAACTCTGTGACTGGCCATGGAGTTAACCTCCCCAGACCCAATCCCCGGGGAGAGCAGCTGCTAATCTGCAAGATAAACCTTGGGGAAGCTGCTTCCCAGATGGTGCATCACAGTTGCAAACAGACGAGCCAAAGCTTCTTGGCAACACAGTCAGTGACATCCCAGGGCCTTGGGCTATACAAGGATGCTCACTGTGAGGATGGCTACTCTGCCATGGGGAGCTCTTTCAGAGCACACATTCATCTTCATGTCCACAAGTCCTGCAGAGATACCATGTGATAAGGGATGTTGAGCAGAGAGGAAATGCAATGGCCTTCCTGTCTGTGCTCTGGAAAGTGGTGTGGGGTGAGTGAAGAGCATAGAGAACGGCTTAGCTTTCTAGTCAAGAACCAAGTCAAAGCTGTGAGTTCTCAGAGGGATATTTTACCCCTATGTGACTCATTTTTCCCAACAATACATGGTGACAAAAGGAAGCCATCTGCCCATGTTTTAACTGGATTGATTATTATTTTTCGGGTTAGCTGCTTAAGTTCCCTGCACTGTATGTCCCCACTTAATACATAACGAGTGTCTGCACTCTATGGCAGAAACTGAAATACTGGAAGGTGTGATAGCAGGGAGGCTGACTGGATATCGCACATAGTACAGGAAGGGTAGGTAACGGGGCAGGAGGGATCAGGGACAAAATAAAACAGTGACTAGGTGCAAAAATGGAAAGTTATCTGTTGATGATAATGTATATGGCAATATCCTGACTTAGCTAATATGCACCATATTCATACCAAGAGAACCATGTTGTACACCGTAAAGGTGTTCAGTGATAAAATGCAAACAAAAAATAATTTTAAAAACCCCTGAAAATTGGTATTAAAAAAAAGAGTGAAAATTATATAAGGGTTCATTGTACTACTCTTACAAATTTTCTATATATTTTTTTCAACATTAAAGAAATCAAGGACAATTCATAAGGAGAAGAGAAGAAATCATCACAGGGGCATCACCAGAAAAGACTGAAGCAGGGCTCTCCACTGGGAGCTGTCCGGGGTGCTGGCGGCGGCGTTAACGTTACTGGGAGGACAATAGGACACTAACTCTGAGTCCTGAAGGCTGGCTAGCAGAGATCAGCCTCGGATATGCCACCTACTAGCGGGCATTTAATCTGGCCACACCCGGTTTCCTCCTCTGGAAAGTGAGGCTGTATCTCTCTCCCAGGAACATGCTGCCCACTGCAGGGGATAGCATAAAGCAGATAGCTGGCCCTAACACTCCGTGCACGGCCCTCAACACTGCTGGGATTCACTATGGGGAGTGGACTAGAGTCCCAGGTACTGCTCAAGGTCACCACCAACCCCCCAGTGGGGAAGCTAGAACCTAGTCTTTCAGATGAAGCACTAATTATTGCTCTTTTTCTGGATGGAAGCTTCCTTTGGCTTTTTTGGGGAATATTTAAAGAAGCAAGCCCTCCTTTGAAGTGGATTATAAAGGAACAAAGGCAGAGTCATTGTCCCAAAACATTATTACTTCAAGCAGGGTAGGGTGACAGAGGAAACAATCCATGTTCAGTGGAGGAAACTCCTTATTTAATTGATTTGCTTTTGTTTCTTTGAATAAAGGCAATTCTCCCTCAGCAGAGGCTACGCCCAGCAGCCAGCCAGTTGACAGCAAAGGTTACTTAAGGATGAGCTGAAATGACAGGCCCCAGAAGTCTTCTAGGCAAGAAATGTAGGCAAACTGGTCACCCCCAGAAGGGAGGACAACACATATTGTAGCATAGATGATGCTACAATTTCTTTGTATCTTTCAACCTAACACTGCCCCAGAGAAACTCTCTTTTCCATCTGCACTGAGACCCGATATCTGCAGCTCCAAGGCTGAGTACTGGCCAAGTCAAAACCCTCTAATGTCCTCCCCAAATTCATGCCTCAGGAAGGCTGGATGTCCTAACCTGCCATCCCGAGCCTGGGAGACCTGGATGTTTTCCATCCTGGTATATCACAGGTCTGGTGCTTTGCTGTCACACCACAATATTTTTTGTTTGCTTGCTTTTTAACAGTAATAATAATAGCTGGGCCCAGGATAAAGCAAATGAAGCATCCTCTTTGGGTACTAGAAAGCTCAGTAACTTAGAAGAGTGACATTCCAACAGCAGTATATTAAAAGGTCAAAATCTAAAGCAACCCAAGATGAACAAAATATCAGAATGTAAATACACACAACGCTATGGCTCTGCTGGACTCGGGCGGTGGTAAGGAAGAGAGGCTGTTCAAATGGAGCATGTGAAAATGAGCAGGAGCCCCTCAGCTCCACCTTCTGCTGAAGAAAAATGGAAAGGTGCCCCAGTGAAAATCAGTAAGGGCTGAACTGAAAGCGTCTTTCTAAACTGCTTGGAATGCAAGGACCTCATGTAATAAGGCAACATGGGCCATGAGTCAGAGCATATATTCACATTTCCCACTTGAAGGAAAGATAAGGTTTTAACTTAAATTCTTAAGATATTTTGCAGGATGGAAACTGCTGGCTGTAAGCACACAGACTCGAAGCTGATGGTCACTCCCTTCCAGACTAGGAATTGATTACCCGAGGCCCCTATAATCAAGAAAGCCCGTGAGATGATCTTGCCCTCTTGAATGAATCATTGATTTGAACATGCACCTGGGACTCCCACACTTAATTCTGCCCTTAAAATGCATGGGAGGGGGGCTCCTTGGGGAGACCAGACCTTCGCAGCAGGAGCCGCCCACCCTCCTTGCTTTGCACGTGCTGATGAGGCTGAGCGCCACTCATCACACTCATGTCTGCTGTTGGGCTCACAGGGCACGGGCATGCTTTATGCCCAGTTGTTTATTAGCTTTTAATTCAATCACTTTTTTTTCTCTTATGATTTGAGTTCCTTAACAGGCTGGGTTCTGTCTTCATTTAAAATTTTTATTATGTTCCTCATATCAATCTCATTGAATTTAAAAATTTAAGAATCACTGCACCAAAGAATTGCTTTTCTTTGTTTTGGCGCCCTCTGACATTTCATGCCAACTCCTCACCCTAATTCTGGATGCCGTGACCTCGGAGCTGGCACTGACTGAGGGCTCACATGTTCCAGGGACTGATGGGAGCGAATGGCTTGCAGTTGTCATGGTGATGAGCCTGGAAGGTCACTGCCCCTATAATCTCTAATTTATTTTAGAACAAGGGAGGACAGAGAGGTTAAGAAACTATCCATAGATCACAGAGTTGAGATGGGATTCTGACCCCAATGGTCTGGCTCCTGGGCCCTGAACTAGTGACAATTTTATGCCACCTTTCCCATCAATGAGCCATGCTATGTCCCACCAGGCCATAGGGAGAGACACAAGTGTGGGGAGAGGGGGAGGCCACAGAGGGGCAAGAAGAACACCCCCAGGAAGCACCCATGGTGGCCAGAGGGGCTGGGCTTCCCTGCACCTTCCTGCCCCCGTGCTCACATGCAGTCTGTCAGAGCTGAGCACGCTCACCAACCGTGGGCACAGCCACTGCCCCAGAGCACGTGCCTGGACATGAAGCTCTGCCTATCCTGTGGGCCTGCGGGACAGGTCCGGCTTCCCCCCGACTGGCCCCTGGCTGTGAAACAGGGCGATGCCGCCCACTGCAGAGGGGTGCCCATCACACACACGAGAACAGTAATGCTCGCTTGCACTCAGGAAGCACTTCCTTACCTTGTTTGGACATAGAGTGCCAAGTTCTTTTTATGCATTATACAAGATTTCTGAGTTTGTGGGGATTTGAAATGAAGTACAAGTTTACTTTGGTACAAAAATATTTTTAAAATCCATGCAGAGATTTTTTTTACTAATATGCATCTTCCATGACCTTTTCTGAAGTTCCTTGTATGGCTCCACTCCAGCAATCCCTAACATTGTTGTTTATTATATTTTTAATTCGATCGCTTTTTTTTTTTTTTTTACATTTTAAAATTTACAGATAATCATGGTACATCTTGACACTGTAAACATTGAAGTGAGAAGTGCGAGCATCTGACCTGTAAGCTCAGGTGTAACCTGTAAGAGGCGCAGAGGCCAGCTCCCGGCGCACCTCGCAGTTCCAGCACTCAGGGATCTGTTCCTGAGCACCTGGTGAACAGACCTGCCCAAGGTCACTGAGACAGCCGGTGCCCTGATGAGACGTGCAACACGGTTTCCGATGTCGAAGCCACTGTCTCCGTACACTGGCCGCCTCTGTCTTGTTTGCTTTCACTCCTTAATTTTCATGTTTTATTAAAGTTTATTTATATGCCTTAGCATGAATAGACCACATACTAGTCCAGATACTCCCATGCACATTGTCCATCACTCTTCCGCACACTGACCAGAGATGAGCAAGGGCAACAGAACAGACACACACAGACGTTTAGGGGTCCCACTGACCTGGGGTCCAGCAACTCCTGGGGGTCCTGGGAGGCCTTGTGGCCCAGCATCTCCCTGTAGCAGGGAAACGAGAGAAAAAGGAAAAAAAGGAAAGTAAAAACAAGAATAAGTCTCTAGGGCCCACACCCAGAGTCCTCACCAAGCCATCAGGCTCACACGTCACCCACTGATTTCCACGGGGTTTCCCATGTCCACACCATCTCTTGCCCTCAGTTTGCCGGACAGGTGGTGACATGCCTGTGGCTGGGCAACCCTGAGTGTACCCACTACGGAGCCGTAAGCTGGCGGGGGAGCCAGTCCCCAGGGCGCCCCGGGCCC